TATAACTTTTCATTACAACTGGTTTCTGAGAATTTTTTCGAAAAACGAATATTCATTGAATTATTTTGCAAGTAACAGAATTAGTATCACTAGAAAAAATTTTACATTCCAATGTAAAATTTATACTAATATAATTTGGCTAAATAAAAATTTGGTTTAGCGAAAATTTAATTAAATAAGAATTTGGTTAAATAAAAATTAGGCTTTATAAAGCCTAATTCTGTGGTTGTGGCGGTTGACAGGCATTTGTCAAGATTTTGAGAAAAATGAGTTTTAATATTCATTTAACTCTGTCAAATCAGAAAATCAACGGATGTGATTGGTATTCGGTATTTAGTCTCATTATTTAATGTATTTTTAAAATACGTTTATCGGATTTAATAAAACGCACGAATTCATATGAAATTTAATATATTCTTAGTCAAATTGATAGTTTTTTTGCAGTTATGCGACGTACGAATCTGAGTCTGAAACAAATATATCTGAAGGAGATGATTATAATGAAGGTAAAAAGAATAAAATTATTATTTATCATTATTTATTTATAAAATTATTATTTATGTTTATTGTATCTATGAAAAAAATCAAACGAATGTTTTTTTAAAAATAGGTTATAAAATTGGTTAGGTTTTATGTTTACATTTCCTTCATTTCTCAAATTTAATATTTTTTGTGAAGATATCGAGAAGAATGAATATACCTGTGATTAAAAAGAATTAATGAAAAGAGAAAATCGAAAAATTAGTCAAACAAAAAGAAACTCTGGACAAGAATATATTTCTAGACGTGGAAAAGTGGTACCAAAGAGAACTTTCACAAGGTTAACTTCCTGTACGAAAAAATGTTATTTAAAGGTTTCACTGTCAGATCAACAGCGCATATTTTCTGCATATTGGGAAGAAGGTTTTTATGCAAGTAGATCTGCTTAGTAGTATAGCAAGGGGGCTTCTACCCCAAGTTCTGATCTCGGCTAAGTACCTGCAGTCGGAAACTGCTCGGTCGGTAATGCAGATTTCTACTTTATCAGCAGTCGGTAAGGAAGGAATCTGACAAAAATTTCAACTCGACCGATATGGTAGGAAAATGTTTTACCGACCAAACATTGAAGTTAGTTTACCGACCACCCAATAGATGGCGCTCACTTCAGAGTGTATTGCCGACTTTGATTAACCTTTTAATTAAAAATAAAATTATTCTCAACCTGTTTTACTGAACATTGAAATTAGTTTACCGACCACCCAATAGATGGCGCTCACTTCAGTCTGTTGTGGGAATTTCATGTATATTTAAATTTCAGAAGGCATTCCCACTGAGCACTTAATAAAAGAATAATAACACATGATGATTTAATTAATACAAAGCAACGATTTATTATAAACAAGTTAAATTTCCGATATACAAAAAATGAGACATTTAGTATTATGTCTTTATATCGTAACTGCTGGATATCAACTAATTCTTATCTCTCCCACACATTCATACCCATACGATACATACATTCATTCAATCGCTCATTGCGTACAAGATTTGAATTGAGCGGTAAAAGAGGAGAATCCTCTGTACGCAAGATGCAACACAGCCTTCACTCACAACCGTAGGCGTGGGGAGAAAGAGGGGTAGCGTCGAGCCTGCTATTCCCCACATACTCCCCCCGAGTGACAACGAATAAAAGGTACGAATGCAAGTAGCAAATGTGAACAATATTATGATTTTTGCAGGTACAAAATGTCCTATATATAATATATACTTATGTTTTCCTAAAACAATTTTTGTTGTAAAAAAAAAAAATTTCATGCAAAAAAAAATTTTTTTAAACTTATAATTATTTATCTAAAGTCGTAGATATAATATTAAGATATATTTTAAATATGATACGTATCATAAATATATGTTATAACTAAAAAAAAATATTATAATTTATGTTTTCTGAGGTAAGTTAAATCTAACTTCTTTCTTTTTATTACTATAAGTTCTTAATACTGTTTTTAATTGTAATTTTGTTTCAGGATTTTCAACAATAAGAGAAAGAGATATAGAATTTGAAGGTATTTTACAAACAGTTTCATTTGCTTTTGTTTCATTATCTATCTCCCGTGCGAAAAAGGCAGGTTTGAGATTTTTAACCGAAACCTGTTTGTTAACGCCGTTGACTTCGACTTCATACACCTTCTCATTCGTACGTCTAACTACTTTGTGGGGACCAGAATACGGGCACTCGAGTGATCTCTTTGTAAAATTTTTCTTTTATCTTTATGTTCGACAGGCACTGGTTTGATGAGACGCATATGCTCTCGGAATTCCTCCAAAAAATACTGAGGATTGGGAGAAAAGTCATCAGTTAAAACGAATTGACCAGGTACTCGGAGTGGAGTTCCATAAACATACTCCGCTGGTGATGCCTCCGATTGTAAGACATTATTGCGCCAACCCATCAAGACTACTGGAAGAGATTGGATCCATTGCTGATCCTTGTGACACATAATAGCGGCCTTCAATACCCGATGCCAGCGCTCCACTATACCATTAGAGGCAGGGTGGTTCCGCGTCGTTCTAATGCGTTGACAACCTGTCAACTTAAGAAGGGCCGAAAATAATTGGGATTCAAACTGGCTTCCTCTATCAGTTGTTAGGGTTTCGGGTGAACCGAATCGGGAAATCCAATTATTAAAAAATGCGCGACACACTACTGTCGCATCCACGCTCTTCAAGGGGATGGCCTCCGGCCAACGCGAAAATCTGTCAATCAGTGTAAGACAGTATCGAAATCCATCACATATTGGAAGAGGACCGATGATGTCCATATGTACATGCTGGAATCTATTTTCTGGTGCAACAAAATGTGATGGTTGTAACACAGTATGACGACTGACTTTGGCTTTTTGACAGGGCAAACAATTTCTGCACCAATCTTTAATGTCACGGTTCATTCCCGGCCAAACGTATGACTTTGAAACCACCCTACACGAAACCTTGGCGCCAGGATGTGCAGGGTCGTGCAAAAGCTGAAAAATGCGTTTACGAAGTGAAGCTGGAATAGACGGACGCAGAACCTCTCCCGAAAGATCGCAAATGATGGCAGTGTGATCAGGACCCCATCTAATGCTCTTAAGGTTGAGAGAACTACCCCCGTTCTCGAGTAAAGATTTTAGCTCTAGGTCATCTTTTTGAGCTGTGGCCATTTCGGCCAAACTAATTTCGGACGCAAAAATCACAGCGTTAACTCGAGATAAGGAATCCGCGACGATGTTTTCTTTACCAGGTAGGTACTCGATATCCGTGGAATACTGTGATATCAAAGACAATTGATTTAATTGGCGAGGTGATGCCTTATCAGACTTCTGTTGAAAAGCGTAGATGAGAGGCTTGTGGTCGGTGACTATTTTAAATTTCTGTCCAAGAAGAAGGTGTTTAAAATATTTAATTGATTCATAGATTCCGGTCAACTCCCGGTCATAGGTACTGTATTTCTGCTGGGTGGGGGAAAAAACACGGGAGAAAAAAGCCAAAGGTTTACAGGAACCGTTCTGGAATTGTTCAACCGACGCTCCCATTCCAGTATCGGAGGCGTCGGTGACCAATCTGGTTTGAGCCATTGGATCCGGATGGGCCAACAACGTTGCGTTGGCAATATTACAACGAATCCTGTCAAAAGCCTCCTCAGCTTCCTCACACCAATCGATCTTCGTCCGGTCATTCTTTTTTGAATTTCGCAGGTAGTTATTCAGTGGACGTTGGAATCGAGCTGCACTGGGTAAACTACGTCGGTAAAAATTTACCATACCCAAAAAACGTCTCAATTGAGCCACGGTTGTAGGTTTCGGGTACTCGACAATCGCTCTAACCTTCTCATCGGTCGGTCTGACCCCCCTAGAATCAACAGTATGCCCAAGAAACACAAGTTCCTCAACTCCAAAAGAACACTTCTCAACATTTAAACGAAGACCAAATTCATCCAGGCGACGGAATACCTGTCTAAGATGACGTTCGTGCTCCTCAACGCTCGACAATGCTATAAGAATATCGTCGATGTAGGCAAAAACGAAGTCTAAATCGCGCATAGCTTGATTTATGTATCGTTGAAATGTTTGAGCGGCGTTTCGGAGACCGAACGTCATGACCAGAAACTCAAATGAACCGAATGGAGTCGTTATTGCTGTTTTAGGGACGTCCTCGGGTGCAACAGGAATTTGATTATAGGCCGAAAACAGATCTAATTTCGAAAAAATAGACTTTCCATAAAGATTACAGGTAATGTCCTGTAAGTAGGGAACTGGGTAACTATCAGGAATAGTTTGTGCGTTAACTCTTCGATAATCGCCACAAGGTCTATAACTACCATCCCGTTTAGGTGCCAAATGAAGAGGAGATGCCCAAACTCCACGAGCTTGTCTACATTGACCTGAATCCAACCAAACTTTAAATTGCTTCTTTGCTATCTCTAATTTCTCGGGTGACAAACGACGAGGACGCTCAGCTACGGGAAATCCAGTTGTTTCGATTTGGTGAAAAACACCACGTTCCACGATACGCGAACTCTGTTCTAAACCGGTAATGTTAGGAAATTCGGCGAGAATTTTTGCATATGAATCAGATTTGTTAACGGTATTAACACCGTCGAACGAACCGACACCTATAACGCACACCGCATTGACACCGGTATGGGAATCAATAATTCTCCGATTACGGAGGTCGACGTTAAGTCCATAATGGCTGAGTAGATCGGCTCCTATGATAGCATAGGGAACCGATGCTACACAAAAATTCCAAACAATTGGACGCCTAAGGCCGACATTCAATGAGAGTCGACGTTCGCCGTATGTGTTTATTCGCGGCATAAAGCACATAGTCGGCTGGCTTTCTCTTGATTCCGCCATCGGCAGGGAGGAGAGAAATGTCCGACCCCGTATCGACAAGAAATTTGATTCCCGTTTTACGGTCTCTGAGAAAGAGACGTTTCCGTAAAGTCGACGCATCGATCGTCTCAACACGATGCGACGGTTCTAGTTTTCCGTACTAGGTTTCGATTTTTCTTTCAAATTACAAGGAGATTTGCAATATTTCGCGTTCGTGCCGAATTTAAAATGATAAAAACATTTACCGTTGCGTTTGTCTTTTGAAAAATCACGAGAATGATGAGAACGATCTCGGGGCCTGTAGCGATTTCTAGAAAACGATCTTGAACGTGAATGCCCTTGAGAACGAGGTTCAGTCGACAATGCGTCGATTCTTTTTGTCAAAACCTCCAATTTCTTTAAAATTTCGTTGTCTGCCGAAACAGCGTTGACCGAATTTTCCGCCGGGGAAAAGTTTGCTACAATTTTGTCCGCGACAACAGCCAATCGAGAAACGTCATCAACTTCCGACAAAGATAAAATCGCCCTACAATTATCCGGCAACTGCTCAAGGAATACCGATTTAATGATCTCTTCAGAACAACGACCTCTGCTCAAATGCCTAATTTTACTAAGGATCATTGATGGTTTTCCGTCTGTGAGGATTTCACCGCGAAGAATAGAGCGAAGTTCCTTTTCAGGGGAGACAGAAAAGTTGGTAATAATGCGTTCTTTAATCCGGGTATAAAGTCTAGGAGATGGAGGTGTTTCACCTAATAAGTCGCTAATTGTCTGAATGATATCATAATCCAGGACTGAAATTATAGCACCCGCTCTTTGGCGTTCGCCGGTAATGCGATTAAATTCGAACATCAATTCGGCTTGTAAAAACCATAATTTTGGATCAGAATGAAAAAAACCGGGAAGTTTAATATTTCGACATGCATCAACATGTGTCTCACCACCGGCAGCACCACCAGCAGCAACATTATTCCCGAACTGAAAAAATTCTGCACCCCTAAATGGAAGAATGCTCGTCCTATCATCCCCTGTATCTGTCATTGTGAGTTTATATTGTTTTATATAAAATTTCAAAATAAAAAAAAAATAAAAATTTTGTTTATCAAGAAAAAGAAAGAAATATAATAATAATTATGTTGATATCAAAATTAAATTTTAAATAATAGTCAATCGAATGAGCGTATCCGTGAGCAACGACGCACTTTCGAAATCGTAGTATATTTCTTTTAAAAGTATAAATATTATCCTTAAAATCACTTTTTTACGTAGATATCTCTTTGAATAATTTATAAAAGACTACAAAAGAGATATGAAGTCACATTATAAAAATAATTTTAAAAAATCACTAATGAAATGAGATGACATAACAATCAAACATAAACAAAAATAAAACACACAAAACCATATAATATTGTCGACTTAAACAGGTGTGGTTAAAACTATCCGCATTGTAAATTTATAATTTATAAAAAAAAATGTCAAAAACAATAAATAATAAATTGTATTTTTATAAATCAAAGTTTTTAAATTTGTAGTAAATTTACTCAAAATCATTTAATTTTATATTCTCGCGTAAATGCAAGGAAATAGAAAAACCAAAAAGAAATTTTTTATCAATTATTTTTTTAGTTTTAAAGAAGTTTTGATTTGAAAAATGATTTTAAATTTAAAGAAACGCGGAATTAGTTATCTGTTGTGTGGAAAAAAAAATTTTTTGTTCGATGACTCACAAAAGCAGGTATGCCAAAAGGCAGATATAAATCAAAAATAGTCCATAGGCGGCAAAACGGTCTTCAGAGAAAACATGACAGGTAACTCGAACGAAAATTTCCATCATCAACTCGATCCTCCCTCAAAAAACGTCACTCCTGACAGGCTCCAGTATCACCAAGATGATAACAGTTCTCAGGAAAAATCCAGGGTGACATGAAAAAAATATTTTCATAAAGGGAAGGCAAGCAGTTCAAAGAACTGTTATATTGCAAGAGGTATAAAAAAAGCAAAAATACCTTTTGCATGGGCAAGAGTGTTCCGCCCATGCGCCGTTCTTTGAGAGCATAAAAAAAATAAGATCTGGATCACTCGAATAATGTTGCCAGGCTACAGCCAGGTTCCGTCTCGAGAAGCCGTCCAGGAAATGCAGTCAAAATTCGTCAAGTAGACAGAAAAAGACATTTTCACAAAAAAAAAAATATATATCCATAGCAGTTCCAAAATAAAATATCAGCAGAGTCCAAAATTTCAGCAGTTGATCGGAAAAAAATATTAAAAGTCGTACAATGTACGATTCAAATTCAAAATTAAAAATGGCGGCAGCGTCTGCAACCGCATGGCGTGAGAAGTTCACTTATGAAGGAAATTTTTCTCCGTCATTAATATATGAGAAAAATATAAAATATTAATGTCGGATGCTTTAAAATAATATTCTTTGTCAAACTTTTATCCTTTTCTCCTTAGATGGCTGGAGATGAGATCGATAATTAGTGCTCCGAATCTCCGAATTTTCATTTCCGACATGTGCTTGACGGCGTGTTTTATTTTCGCCCAAGTCGGGGTAACCAATGTGGGAATTTCATGTATATTTAAATTTCAGAAAGCATTCCCACTGAGCACTTAATAAAAGAATAACAACACATGATGATTTAATTAATACAAAGCAACGATTTATTATAAACAAGTTAAATTTCCGATATACAAAAAATGAGACATTTAGTATTATGTCTTTATATCGTAACTGCTGGATATCAACTAATTAATTATCTCTCCCACACATTCATACCCATACGATACATACATTCATTCAATCGCTCATTGCGTACAAGATTTGAATTGAGCGGTAAAAGAGGAGAATCCTCTGTACGCAAGATGCAACACAGCCTTCGCTCACAACCGTAGGCGTGGGGAGAAAGAGGGGTAGCGTCGAGCCTGCTATTCCCCACACTGTGGTTTTAAACTTTTTTACCGAATTAGTTTACCAGCCACCCAATAGATGGCGCCCACTTCAGTCTGTGTTTTTAACATTTTTTACTGAATTAGTTTACCCGCCATTCAATAGATGGCGCTCACTTTTATTATCAACTTTTTTTTAGAAATTATTTTTCAATTAAAACTGTTATACCGACCCAGTTAATTAATTTATTAAAGGTAAGTTCATATAAACAAATTATTTAATTAGGTTTATCATATTTTGAAAATAAATATTATATTTCTAAAAAAATATTTTTTAATTCAAACTGTTTTACCGACCGAGTTAATTATTTTATTAAAGGTAAGTTGTTATAAACAAATTATACCGGCACACAAAAAAAAAATTTCGAGTGCGATGACCGCCACATGGTAGGTTCTCTTCCTTAAGATGTATCTAAAGAGAAAATCCTATTCCGACCTCGAGTTTGGTTCTTGTTTCATTTTTACAGGCCTGGTGGGGGGGTGTAGTTTGAGAAATTAACATATATGGGAATTTAATTTCTTTTATCAACTGAAAGTGAATGTTTGCTTATTCTAACTGTGGATTTTGATTCAGTGGCTCTAATTACATGAAAATTTAATAAATACACAAATTTAAAAATGGCGGATCCAACATGGCTGACCTAAAATGGTGGATTTTTGAAAAATTTGTTTGGATTTCCTTGAAACTTGTTACTAGGGGGTTCTTGGGGTCGCTGATTACGAATTTGATGTTAGTTTTTTGAAATTCAAAATGGCGGTTCGAATATGGCTGAAAATTTTCGAAAAATTGTTTGGTTTTTGTCAAAAATTGTTATTTTGGGCTGTTTAGGTTGCTGAATATGATTTTAATTTTAATTCAGGGTAAACGATCGAGAAAATAAAAAATTTTAATTGTCAGCCACATTAAATTCACTATTGCAATAACAATTTTTGACAAAAACCAAACAATTTTTCGAAAATTTTCAGCCATATTCGATCCGCCATTTTGAATTTCAAAAAACTAACATCAAATTCGTAATCAGCGACCCCAAAAACCCCCTAGTAACAAGTTTCAAGAAAATCCAAACAAATTTTTCAAAAATCCACCATTTTAGGTCCGCCATATTAGATCCGCCATTTTGAATTTTGAAAAACTAACATCAAATTCGTAATCAGCGACCCCAAAAACCCCCTAGTAACAAGTTTCAAGGAAATCCAAACAAATTTTTCAAAAATCCACCATTTTAGGTCAGCCATATTGGATCCGCCATATTGAATTTATAAAATTTGACATCAAATTCGTAATCAGCGACCCGAAAAACCCCCTAGTAACAAGTTTCAAGGAAATCCAAGCAAATTTTTCAAAAAATCCACCATTTTAGGTCCGCCATATTGGATCCGCCATTTTTAAATTTGTGTATTTATTAAATTTTCATGTAATTAGAGCCACTGAATCAAAATCCACAGTTAGAATAAGCAAACATTCACTTTCAGTTGATAAAAGAAATTAAATTCCCATATATGTTAATTTCTCAAACTACACCCCCCCACCAGGCCTGTAAAAATGAAACAAGAACCAAACTCGAGGTCGGACTAGGATTTTCTCTTTAGATACATCTTAAGGAAGAGAACCTACCATGTGGCGGTCTTCGCACTCGAAATTTTTTTTTTGTGTGCCGGTGTTATTTAATTAAGTATAAAATAATTTGTTATTTACTATGTTTTTATTTAAAAAATAATTAATTTTATTTTTTATAAGTGAAATTGTTTATAAATTCTTTATAAACAATATAATTTTTATTCTTATTATTAGTCAACAAATTATTATTAATTTATTCCACTAATTAGTTCACTTAATTATTAAGTTCTTTACAATATAATTAAATTTGGAATTTTAAATTTTAATTCACTTCGCGCCTTTCTATGAACATGCGCAATGAGAATACATGTGAATCAGCCGTAGTTAAAAAAATATGTATGTTTCCGATCATAAAGACGCTGTCAAAATAAATGGACGCTGAGAGAAGAGAAATATGGTACGTATTATTATTCTATATAATATCGTTTATTATTATTATTTTAATATTAATTAAATGTTTAAATTAAATTATTTTCTTTTTAGGATACTGAAAATAAAGAAAATATGGGCCCAGAGGGCACCACAAATCAGGTGGTAAGTGTTTATTTCAAAACAACTATTTTAACCTTTTTGTTTTGAATTTAATTAAATAATCTAATATTTTTTTAGGAAGGTGAAAATAAAGATGTGGGCCAACAGCCACAGCAAGCAGAGGAAGCGCCCCAAATAGTAAGTAGTTTTCATTCTGAATATTTAATAAATTATATTTACATTTTTTTTATGTATTTACTTTTGTATATATATACAGAAAAGCAAAGTTATGAATAAAAGGTTATGGTGAATGATCTTTTAATTTCGGGCTTAATGCTTGAAACTTGTTACGGGAGGACGGGGAGTTTAAGTGACGTCATTTTAAATTTCAAAATGGCGCATAATCTTTTAAAAATTTCGGGCTTAATGCCTGAAACTTGTTACCGTGGGGTTTTCGGGGTCGCTGATTACGAATATGATGTCAGAATTTTAAAATTGAAAATGGCGGATCCAATATGACGAATATTTTTTTTTAATTTCAGGCGGAATGCCTGAAACTTGTTACCGTGGGGTTTTCGGGGTCGCTGAAAATGAATATGACGTCAGTATTTAAAAATTAATTTTTTTTAGGTTGAACAGCCTCAACAAGCTGGGTAACAAATAAGGGTCCGTCCTCTGGTAATAATAATAATAATAATCATGATAATAATAATGAATAATTTTTTTTTGTGTACCATGAGCTGACGGGTCCTCATCCATGGGATCGCAGGCCAACGAGGCCTACGATGCCGAATACGCTCCGTGTGCTCCACAGATGATTTATATTTCCACTCGAACCATCTGTGGAGCAGAATCAGCCCAGAGTGGCTGTTGAGGAGGTCCCTGTGCGGCTGGAGGAGGTCGCTCAACCAATGCGCCAGCATCCACCCCCACCCTCTCGCTCAAGCATAGTCATTGAGCTTATACCAATGAGGAGCGGGAGGGGGAGAAGAAACGCGCCTTA